GTGCGCAGCCAGTTTTGTGTATTTTGAAAAATTTGATTTCATATTTTTATATTTCATCTCAATTTCATTTTATATTTTATCTCATTAGTATGGAAGAATGTGACATAACTAATATTTATATATTGTTGATAATTTTGCTTGTCTGTATGTTTAGCTTTATCAAGTAAAAGATTTGTCGAGATGTTTAATTTTAGAATGTTTTTTACTGAAAAATTTTATTCCAAGATCTTGATGCAATTTTAATAAATCATGACTTTGATAATGACATCACTTTGAACACCTAAAATCTTTCCTATCTTTAAAATTCTTGATTAACACGCGATAATTATAAACAAAATGTAATACCGATAATTTTTAAAAATCTTGTCTATGAACGTTTATGTATACCTACAAATTTTGTATATCTTTCAAAGATATATTTTGTATGTATCTTCCAAAAATATACATTATCATTGACTAGCATGTATATAGAATCCACGTAATAGAAGAAACGTTAGCATAACACTGAGGATCGTTAGAAGAGGTAAGGTAAGACTAGTCTTATGACAAAGAACAATGATCGGCAGGCGAGAATGATTCGGATGAACGCAAACCTTTCGAATATACAATTTTATAATTATTCCTTATATTGCTGTACAACTTTTTTCGCCATTCTATTAAACTGCGATCATTAGGATGAGACGACGAAATGTCAGGACTTCTCGAATCTTTAACATTACATCAGTCTATACATTGGTAATGTTTATAATACTATAATACACAGAATTTAATTTCTTAATTCTGTATTTTAAAAAACTGTTTTAAAACCAATTTTGAGGGTTACTATAATACCAGAAGGGTTATTATACAATTATTTACATTACGAACCCGAGCAAAAAACCGTATCTTGTTTCGCAACACTAATTCACTAGGACTAGGACTAATTGTGAAACGAGAAATTTTCCGAAAGAGTGCCTCAACATGTTTAAAACTCCCGGAAATAAATACGCAAAGTTATTAATCTATGTACTGATGATTAAAAATGAGCAACACTAATTGCGACCCGTCCAGTGTAACTCTGCTGAAAATTGCTGATGAATGACTACCTGTATCCAGGAGCAGGAACAGCCTTCCACGAATCCAGTGA